TACTGTATCTAATGTGTAATCTAGTTTTGGAAAATGTGCCTTAATGTTTGAATTTGTATATTGAACAATAAAGTTTAAAAATACTAAACAAAAAAACTCTTCCCCTCTCCAGGAGAAACAAAACTACTTACCAGATTTAGTTGCCTTAATGAAACCTCTGCCGCTCCATGGTGCCCCTTTCCCGCCATGCAGTTGATGCAACCCACATTGACAGTAACCAAAAGACTCCTCGGCTAAAATAGATTTCCAGTTTCACTGGGTTAAGTGTGTGATAAAACACAGAGTTTTAACTGAACAAGATTAAAGAGGAAAGAGGAAGGGAGGGGGGCAAATACAGATCATGGCTTTATTAACTATGGCAACAGAATTTTGCATGCAAGAAGAGGTGGAGGAGGGAGGCAGAGAGTGTGTGTGTGTGTGGGGGGGGGGGGTGAGCATCTTGTGCTTTGTAAGGAATTTATCATAATGTTCGCACTGCAAGATCATTTGCCTCTTGACAGGATCATTACGAGATTCAGTGCTCCCACGACCATTACGCAATTTCAGCGTTCCTCCTTGGATGGAATTTTAATTGAATTAGCCCGGCTGGTTACACATGGTGCGAACGATAACATTTTCTGTCTATCTGGGCTCATTGAATCTGTGGGGAGGGGGGGGGCTAACGCTTTAAGGCAGGCCGAGGAAAAAAGGAAAAGGTGGTTTTGGTTCAATCAAATCTGCTTTCTTCTCTCTCTGTTCCTCCATGCCTTCTTGTTCAGCAACAATACATAGCATGAAAATCACTGGGCTAGCCTTTCTCAGCCTGCTGATGCTCTGCTGTATTAACAATCAGAGCCACTCTTCCATGTAAGTGCCCATGTAAGCTGAGGGCAGTGCGAGCATGATGTATGGTTGGGGGGTAAATGTGTTAGTATTAACACCTCCGGAGAATAAAAACCTCCACCAGCCACTCAAGTATATTCCCATCAGAATGATTAATGATGCGGGTCCTGTTATGAAAGAAGAGAGAGCGAGAAGGGAAGCTATCACGCTGCAGGCTGACAAGAGGGTTTCTCTTCACTGTGAACATTGTGAACCGAAATTCTTTGATACTAAATGACACAGCCCATTAAAAGGCTAATTTATGCTTGGTATTAATAGAAACATTTAAGTTCCAATGCTACACAAGCTTCAGTACATCAATTAGAATAACCTTTGACACGGTCAAAAACACATTTCAGAACTTAAATAGTAAAGTTGGAAGGGAGAAACAAGAATTTAATTCAATCTTTCACATTTTAAATTCTTAATAATTGTTGTGCTTTGCTGTCATTTCTTAACTCTGTTTCAGTTTGAACAGAAGGTTGTGGCCTGTTTGGTCTGAAAAACAGAAGGGAAATTTCAGACACAAAAAAGCATTACGCTAAAGGAAAATGCTATGATTAGAGAATTTGCTCACAAAGGTTGAGTTATAGCATTAAGATCAAGTTCAGTCATTTATGACCTGTGATGTCATCGTACAGATCAACAGCAAACAGTAAAGATAATGCTGAACTTTACAGTCAAAACAGGCCTCCAGATCAAAAGTGAAGGAAGCGATTTTATTTAGCTGCTAAATTTATTGTTTACGAATAATTCAAATTCAAACTGCAATCTTTAAAAAGTCTCAGAGGCAGCTGAGCTAAAGGTTTTCTAGCACACTAGCTAGAGAGCTAGCATGTTCCTAGCTAGTAGGCTAAGTGTTAGCTTCCCAGTTCGAGTTTCTAAGAGCAGTCCTTTCATTTAACAAGGATCTGTGACTACACTCAAGGTTAACTCATGCAGATTAATTTCCACTCAAACTTTTTGTGGCTTTGTGTTGTTGGTTGAGATGCTTTACATCAAACTTTAGCGTTAATGTATTACATGTATGCAGTAGTTAACACACAGGCCTGGCGTCACTTCATTTGTAACCATTGATGATTGCAAAGATAAGAAATCAAATGTGTGGAAAGGAGTGATGTATTGGATATAAAACATATGCATTAATCACAGTAGTGTTGGCCATGGCAAGGTGTGCGATGTGGAATCACATTCTACATACAGTACAATATGAATATGAAATGCCATTGTAAGAATTGTAACAAACATGCTAGACTATTTTTTTCTTGGTTCATGTATAAAATCCATTAAAGTCATTCAATAAAAATCCCATGACACATTTTATTTAGCAAAAAATGTTTAATCTCTCCTTGATGTGTGTTTATTTACAAGTAGTAAATCTGCAAAATAGGAAATAACAGAATATTTACACAATGAATGTTAACCTGCAAACTTGTGACAGTTGCTTCAAGTCTGAAACTCTGCATGTGTCGGACTTATTGTAGTATAAATTCCTTTGCCCGTTCTGTCCCAAATTCATTTGATTTGTGTTTCCTTGGATTCTCTGTAACTTCCATTTCGAAAACGAAAAGAAAGAAGGGCAACTACTGAATTATTCAATATCAGAGGAAAGCAGGAAACAGCAACAACAGAAAACAGAATGGTGCCAGGACTTGCATTTTAAGTTTTGTCAGGAAAGTGTGACAAAGCATGTGTAAACCGCTCAGAATTAAACATGATACACATTACTGTGTGCTGAATCTGCTCCCACTGAACACAGTGGAGTACATTCAACTTCTGTATTTGTTCTGATTTGACAGAAAAGCAGTTTATAAACCAGTGTGTCTGTCAAACCACAGTCAGCATGTTGTTGATGTGACAAGTTGTAAATCAGCAGCTAATCCTCACTTCCACCTGATGACACCGACCTCTCTTAGAAAACATACAAGCTGTATACCACCGATACACACAAATCAATTATCACACCAAAACAGTGCAAAAATTAAAGTTAGGTTAAGATTGTTGGAAAGTTTCTCTAAAGATGGGCCCCAAGTTGCAAAGCGGGTCAATCTAAAAGGCAAATAATCATGCAAACGATGAACAAGCCATTTTTCCCCCAGCAGCCATTTAAATCAACTAAACTGCAACCAGAGTACGACACAAATGGAGCATGAACCTGAGGATAGATTGACAATGTCTTTCAAAAGCCTGACAGATCACCAACTGGGCACTGAGGCCCTGCTTGGTGTCTGTGTGTGTGCTTCAGCATGAAGGGAGGGGATTTGTCCTGCTGTACCGTCTACAAGCACTGATTGTTTACTAATGTTTGTCAAGTAGACTCAATATATTTTGCAGTTATCTCTTTAACATACATGATTCTAACAGAGGTTAATGAATGTGCAGCTTGATCCTAACATGGGCAGAGTGGTCCTTAAAGACTGAGTGGAGAATGAAGTCCCAACAGGGAAATCCAGATGTTTTAGCTGCATGTGTTTGCACCTGTAAAAAGTAATGTCACATCACAGACAGGTAAAGAGAATTGTGTGTTGATATCGGGAGTTGTTTTCACTTTTCTCAGATCTGAGAGGATTGTTTTTTTTTTAAAGGAGCCTGGATTACAAATTGAGAATAACAGTGTTTATGATCAGCACAAAAAGACAGCCCTAATGTTTGACAGAAAAACAAGATACAAGAGTTAAAGCAGCAAGTCACAGTTCCACCACAAACACACAGATGCTCATCTGATGCAACAATTTCATTTTGATCCTTGAGATCAGGAAAATAAAACCATGAGGTCGGTCAAGTACTTCAACTTCAGGCAAACTAAAGAGAATTTCGTCTTCTGAGTACCGTCAAATGTACAATTTACACGTCGCAAAAAAACAAAAAAAAAGACATAAAACAAAAATAAAAACAACCTGATTACAAAAAAATGGCAAACAGCTTTTGTTCATCTTGGAAAAAGTATACAATTTACAAATGAAAACATCAACAGAAACATTACACAGACCACAGTTTGGTTTTTCGGCAAGCAGAAAAAATGAATCGGAAAACATTATTTTTCACCACAAAGTCAAAAACCCTGACTTCAAGACTTAAAAAAAAAAAAAAATAGAAACAAAGAAATCCTTTTAAGAGAGCGGTAATAAAAAAAAAGCTTAAGCCACACATGGCAATAGGCTAGTTCTGAAACAAGAGCTGCAGGCTAAGGGGAGGATTACTCAGCCTAATGAACAGAGGTATCTCACCTCCATATCTTTCTATTACCCCCCCATAGATAAAAAGCTAAAACCCCGGTCTCAAATAGATAGGTTAAAGGTGGAGAGAAACACTTGATATCTTTTCCTTCCCCCTGGATTCGGGTATTAACATTTGGAAATGAAAGACAAAAGTGGCTTTAGGCTGAGTACAGCTTTTCCCTCTTTGTTTCATCACTGAGGGGCTTGGCTCAGCTCGACCTGACCTCAGTGTGGCTCCTGTAAACAGCATCAGGGAGCGCCAACACTTTGGCTTCTCTAACAGGACTGTGTCAGAAAGTTAATGACCCTTCAAAGGATGATATCACAAACTCAGGACCCCGACAGATAGATATGATGGCTGGGTGCTGTTGGGGTGAACGGGAGTATTTTCAGGTAGTGCAATGTAGCTACTTCATTGTTGAGTCACTAAACCATGATCCACTGAACCATCAGTCCTCAAACCAGCCGTGGCGCAGGATACTAGCGTGGCCATGATAAAGCAACAATCCTGTGTGTGTGTGTGTGTGTGTATATATTTGGTTTTCTGAAACCAAAATATTGCACTGATTGAATTAGAAACAACAGCAACTGTATGTCAACAAAGTGACACCATGAACTGTGCTAACTGGAGAAGTTAGACAACTTTCTGTGTCGTCCCATTTCCCACTCCCCCCCCCCCCCCCCCCCCCCCCAAAAAAAATGGATCTTATGATGGGTCCAACAATTCTTTTCAGTCATGAGGCAAGTTCATATTCAAAATCATACGGTAGCACATTCCATCTAACAAATTGTCTTTGCACTAAACAACATTCAAAGAAAACATGGCACAGTACGACTTTTTTGATTCTTTTTCATTGTTTTTTTGTCTACGTTATTTTTTCTTTTGTACTTGAAATATCAAATCATGTTTCATTGTTGTATTTGTTTTGTGTTTGTTGGCTCAAAATGAAAAAAGAACAACCAAAAATGTTTTCTCTCTAATCTTGTTTTTTTATGTAGCTGTATTTATATAATATCTATATCGTCTTCCTTTGTAACATTTCTGTAAATTGTGCAAATTCAGCAGTAATACAAGTGGCGAGAGATCAGAGAGTGGGCAGTCGATTACATTTATACAAAAAAAAACTAACATCCTTTAAAAATGTGACACCCGTGGAGTCACATTACCTTGAGAGCCTCTCTCCATTGGCTCATCATGTCCTGCTAATGACGCCATATATGGAGTTCCTGTTCAGGTTTCCTTTGTTTCTTTCCTGACCATGGCGTCAGTACAACAAAACTCCTAAAATCAAAATCAAGCAAACAACAAACACCAACGTCCACAATAATCTAATGCTGTCAGTTGACATGTTTCTCCATGTGTCTGTGTGTGAACAAGTCCGGTGTCCGAGTCTCTCACACAGACACCGCCCACACACTGTTAAGGGCTGCACACAAACACACACATACAGATGTAAGCGCACACAGGCCCGCCCATCTCTGCTGAACCCCCCCACCCTTGTTTACAGTACACTGCTTCAGTCTTTTTGCAGTTCATCTGTCATGTTGTGGGGGTTTGGAGTTTTGTTTGTTGTCCGGATGAGAGGAGCGAGAGGGAGAGACAGATGGAGATGAGGAGTGAAGAAGAAGAGGAGATTAGAGGTGCTGGATGGTCCTCAGCTGCTCAGGGCCATTGTGTCGATGACCTGCTCCAACTTGCTCCTCAGTCTCTGTCTCCTCGCCTGCTCGTCCCGCTCCAACGCTGACAAGATCTGAGGATGCAAAGTAGAGAGAGGAGGTCAAGCAACTTTTGCTTCCAAACATGGAGTCATTTTTCTAATAAATTTCTAAATTCATAATAGAGGTGCAAACGAGTACTCGGGTACGCTCCCGTACGCTGCTACCCTAACAAAAATATCCCTTTAATTAACCCCCCTATGAATTCACAATGAATAAAAAGTCCCAAACAAACGAAATATGCAATTTGATCTACGAAA